TTATTAAAAATTAAAGTCACATATGGTGTGCGAAATTGACTAAATGTTTTGTTATATTTATATCAGTTATACCTAAATATCATTATATATAGGTACCTATATTATACAAGTGTTTCCAGAATCGAAATTAACACAAATATATAACTAATATTTTTACACAAGTAATTTATTTACGTCAAATGAATGTAACTAGGTCACACAATAATACATGATACCTACTATTCAAGAAAAATACTAAATAATAACTCATAATAAGAGTATATACTTTTCAATATATGAAAAGTTTACTTTGTAAAACTAAATTTTAATTATTTTCTACTTAATTTTATTCATACAATATACATAAAAAGTATTTGCCTTTATATTTTCATTAAAATATAGGTACTTAAAAACCAACTCTTTTTGGATCGTATTAAATTCGTGAATATTAAAATTCAATTTTTTTTGTTGTTCGACCCTTGGCAACACGCTCCATTGGTTGCGTGGGGGTTATGGTTGGTACGGTTGAAACATGTATTATATTATGTGGGGCAAGGATTCGTCGCCAAGAATCGGGTAGGTTACCCATCCGAGAGCCAGCGACTCCTTACGATGCTTGACCACATCACACATTAGTGACTGCGACCAACTACAATGCCACGCCATTGCCAGCCCTCTTAAAATAAATTATATAAATTGTAGATAGTGAAGAGTTACGGAGGTATTGATTTTATAATTATTAATCACGAAAATACTTTATTTTGTAAAAAAATTATGTTTTTAAAGTGGTTTTTTATAACTCAAACAGTTCTATACAGAAACTCTAAATTGTAAATTTAACAAGGATTAAATCTTTAAAAAGTCATTATTTGAATACCTCAGGAATTTTCTGGACACCCAAACCTCAAAGTAACGGCAAAGAACGTCGTTAATGCAACTCCGATTTAATACCTATAATATGTATATTAATATAAGTTTGTAATTTATTACAAAAATATAGGTATCATATTTATTTCAACTATAAGTACTCAAATAATCCTCAAAGTTGAAGGTTGAAGAATAATTTTTAGTGCTCCAAAAGGTTTGGACAGACAAATAAAATAATTTTACAAAAAACACTTATCGTTGTAAAACCAATACAATCAGAATCTAAAAAATAAACAAGGGCGTCCTCAGGGGGGTCAAGTAGGGGCAGTTTCCCCTACCTTGGCTTTTTCTGGGTTGATTATCATATATTATTATTGATGATTTTAATGTTCTAAAAAAACTAAAAAATGCCCTAACAATTCTAAATAGTTCACTAAATTGTTTTTATTTTTAATATTAAAGATATAAATTCTAATATACATTTTAAACTTTTAAATGATTGTATAAAAGTTTTACTGTAGACAGAACTTATCATTTGGACTACTAATTTAATCTGAAAATTAACTATTTTTTTTTCTGTACATATATGTTTAGATTTTAGATCATAATATAAAAATAAATTATTATTAATAATATATAATAATTATACATTTATTATAAAAATCATTTATAAAAATTTGAAAATTTGAAATTTAAATTTAGAAAAAACTTCAAAATGCTCTGAAAATCTTTAAATGCAAAAGATGACCTTAAAACATAAAAACGTCAAGAAATTCAATGTAGGTATGTTATAAAACGAATATCGCGTAGATTTGGAAAACAATGTAAATTGCATTATAATTCCAACCTCAATCATTACCGTTGTACCTAATATAAAATATCACCAAATAAACTTTTTTTAAGAACTAAGAACGTTGCTTTTATAGTTTATGAGATGTAGTGGTGGAACCAAGTGCAATACTGCATTGTCAACCAAGTTTTTATTTTTTTGATAAAAAAATTAAATATTCATAGATGGCATACCTTTTATAGTTACAAATTTTTAAGTTTGTGGTATCAAAGACTGAATAAGTTAGAAATATTTAATTTTATAAATTACCTAAAATTATGAAATCAACGGTAACGTTTTATTTATTAAAAAATAATATATTTGATAATTTAAAATTACATAACAATTAATTTAAATTAATGCTGTGAGAATAAATTTTAACTAACTATATACGTATATAATTCATAAATAGGTACATTTTTTGTTTATATGAAAGAAAACATGTCACACAAATACTTTATAACTAATAGGATATTGGGACAAAAAATGTAAAAAGGAAAATATTTTGCTCACCCCTTGACAAATTCCTGTGGACGCCCTTGAAAATAAATTTTTAATATGTACCAAAAATATATTTTTATTAATTTGAAATTGTTGAATACTTGTTTGATATCTTTTTCGTATTAAAAAAAAATAAATATATTATCTATCAATTGATTTGCGTGTGTTCTGGCACATTCGTTTTACTACATATAAATAGTTATGAGTAAGAATAAACAATTATATAGTAATAAGGTAAGGATGATAACTGTATGGTTGTGTGAACGATTTCTGAACGACAGAATTCCAATATTATATATTGAAAACCGATAAGGTCTATACGCAGTACAACGAACAAGTTTAAATTGTTGCATAACTGTTACGGAACTTGGACGACTCTATAGAGCATTGAAATATTATTTGACCGAGTCTCCTGCAATGTAGGACTATTTCCAGAGCTCAATTGGCGGTGTAGACCAGGGGCGAACGCAGGGAAAAAATATTATGAATTATAGTAATACATTTGCAGGTCAAGCAAATTATTTTTTGTTCATGACATTTTGAGGGGGTGGGGGGGTGAACCCCAAAACCCCCCTGTATTGTATGGGGTTCAGCGATCAATTGGATCATATCGTTTTCTAAGCGAAAATACAAAATAACGTCACAAATGCGTACAAATTAGGTCTTACTGCAGTTCGCTTTTGACTATTAGTTTCGAAAAAACTTCCATAGTAGTAAAATAATATATTCTCGTACGCGCGACAAAAAACAATTCGTATATTATGTACAAGTTGCAGTTTGTAACTGAATAGAATCGAATCGATTTGATTATAAAGTCTTTTAGTCAAACGTAAGTTCGTTAAATTATTGTGGAAGTTTCGCTGTGCGTATTTCGGCAGATCCGCGATCGCTCAATTACACGTATGATTTTATACTCAATACTACATATAAGAGCGTAGTTCACTGATTCGGGTTTGTTTGTCGTTCGGGTGGGTTTCAATTGGGTCACACCCTTTCTTTTGTGTGTGCGTATAGCATCGCAGCAGTAACCAAAGGTTATTAAATTGATGGTCGGCGTATGAATTAATGTCAGCGTGACATCGGAGCAACCGCCAACAACAATGGGAATTCAGTGACAAAACGAGTCAATGCTCGGCTGGCTATATTATAGTGTGAGCGCAGGTATTAGTGACGTATCAAAGTTTCACAGTATAATCAGTTTTCGATTGATTTGTATATTCTATACGAGACGTACCTACTGTTCGGGTTATAGAGTAGATTAAAGTATACAATATAATATATATATATATATGCCAGACGGACACGCGCGGTTAGCCGAAATGTAATATTAATATCGCAGTTTAATTAACGCGATTTAATATTATTGTCAGACGACATATTTATGGGTTCTTTTTTGAACTTAGAATATAATGGTTTACGATAGGCTCTACTATATAGTAAACATGTATATTATAAAATATTATGTTATATTCGCAGCTTAAGCCGATCGAGTGCAGGTATATAACATGGCGGTCGGAACATTCGGAAATTTATGTTAACGACTTCGGGGGACCGTGTTGAAAATTGTAGTGCCATTGATTGAACGATAAAGATATACACAAGCTATGCGTATAGAGACGTCTCTCCTCGGCAGAATAACAATAAGGTGTCTAAGAATATTGGAATTTGTTTTTCCGCCGTATACACTTCAATTGCCATTCAGTTACGTCATTTTATGGTAACAGTTCTGCGACGTTGAAGTGATCGTTTTATGTCCGTGCAGTTATCATTGGATATTATGGGACGTGTTTTGGGGATTCCTTGGCGAATAAAGAAGTCGTGGTACTGTGAAAGTCTGTCTTTACGATGCAATCAGTTTTGATTACCACCCGTCTTCCCTTAGCGAGTTCTAAACGTCGTTATGGACAAACTGAGACTTCTACAATGGTATTCTTGTCTCCAAAAGTCGCGACTCATTAAGAAACTCGAATTAATCGTATTGCAAATCTCAAAGCCATTCGGCCGTGTAATAATAAATGCCAGGGTGAAATAATAATACGGTCTGGCGTTGAAATTGTTGAACTTCTTTTTTACGATTGCTATACGAATAACAATTATTAGTAATTTTTATCATTGTCGATGTCTGTTAGCAACACCAAACTTTGGACGGATTTGGACTATTAGTTTAATAGAGTATTATCGGCTAGAATGATAATAGTATAAAGCTCATAAAAACATTATATTTGTCACTAAACGACTTAATTAACTTGAAATAATCCATGTATAGTAATAAGTTGGCTTTTTAATATTAAATTATTATTTTCATGGTGTAAATATAAAAGTAAGCTAATATAAAATGAAAATAAATGAGTTTAATTTATTAATTGCCTTTTCGGTTATTATAAATAATGTAGGTTTTGTGATAGACGACGAGCTGGTAAGCTTTTCTCCATTTTTATTAACTCAAATTTGAAATATAGTTTAGACACCTACACACAATAAATTAATACTAATACCACTATAATATACGAACACCTCTACAGGGTGTTCTCTATTTAAGATATTTTCCCAATTATTTTAGTATTAAAACTCCTTTTATGTTTTATTTTTCATATTGTTATGTTTAGACCTTCATACTACACATAAAATACATATGATACATAATATATGTATATAATATGTATGTTTGTATGGTATGTATGTATGTATGTATGTATGTATGTGTGTATGGTATGTATGCAATATGTATGTATGTATGTATGTATGTATACGTGTTAGGTACTACTACAGTACTACGGCCTAAGTATGCGATGAACACGCTGGTTCATATACCTATTTAATACTATCAAGTGGTTTCATTTAATGCCGTAATTATATACATAGCGGCCAGAGTGTACTGAGTGCGCTTACCTAGAATAGAGACGCGTGATAAGAATTCTTCGTACATTTTCCTCTTCCGGATCGTCGACCCCATAAGTATCCTCCTGTAACTGTCTCGATCTAAGCCCCAGAGCTTCATGTCAGTCTTAGCACGAACCGTGGCAGCCCTCGGTGTACCGTGGATCAAAGCCAGCTCTCCAAAACTCCCGCCTTCGCCGATCACCGTCACCAGTTCCGAATTTACATACACCTAATAATAAGGTAAGGCGTAAAATTTGTGTGTAATAATATTTTCGTAGGCACAATGTACATGGACAATGGATACGAACAAGGCAAAACCCCGAATAATCGTCGACAAACGGTTAAGTAAGTGTATGGGATATCGTACCTCGACTTCGCCAACATCGATTACGTAAAAATTGTCTCCCTCGTCACCCTGTTGAATAATAGATTCGCCCTGTAGAAACGTGACCTGGAACATTGCGTCGAATATGTCCGACCGTTCGTTCTCGTCCAGGTGAGAGAACAATATGTTCTTGGCGATCGCTTTCGATAAGGCCGCCATTGTTTTGTAATCTTTTGGTACTACCTGAAATGAATCGAAGGAGAAATTATTATTTAAAAAAAAAACAACTAGAAGTATTTCTACTTATATAGTAAAAATTAATTATTAATAGGTAACTAAAAAGTAATAATCGTAATTATTGATCAATTAAACGAACAAACAGAAAATAATAAATAGTATTCACAGGTACACCTACATATCATAATACATTTTAACAAGGAAATAATTATTTTAGTATATATTATATGGGTAAATATATTCTTGAGCCAGATAATTCAAAAGGGTATTCAATATGTATTAGACATATTTAAATCTACTAAACTAAATTGAACTTAACGCTATGGACAGCCAGTATTAATAACAAATATAATATATTAACGTAGAAGGTACACTACAAATAATAAAATAGAATAAACATTTAGAGTTAGATGTTCTAATAAAATAATAACTTTCACTTCATCTTTATCCAGCACGCGATATGTTTACTAAATGTGTAAAAGGTTAGTATGAACGCTAGGTAGGTATAGCTATATTACAAACATTACAACATGAAACATTACGTTACCTAATTTATATATTTTATAAGCTAATACAATTTTAAAAATATTTTCAGATATTGTGTATGTTTTTTTTAGATAGAATTCACTAATCGCAGTACAACACTAACCAGATAAAAAATTAATATTTTATAACATACTTAATTCAATTTATTTGTCAATGATCTATAGCGCTGTTTAAAGTGTTTAAAAAACAATTATTAAACTATGCGTAATTAGTATGAATACATTATTGAATGAATACAAAAAATAACATTTCAGTTGATAAAATAGTAACGGATAATTAACTTTTGAAGACAGCGGTCAACGTGAAACGCTACAAATTGTTTTCTCTTAACTACATAGGTACGTTTAATATTTTAAGACTATTATCACTAAAAATGTCAACTGAAAACTTTTATTTTTATTTATCCCTTTGGGAAGTCCTTAAAATATTATTACAGATGTACCTACCTATTGTAGTTACTGACCTCAAGTCTAACTGTAAATAAATCTATAAATAACTATTTAAAAAATATAGGTAAAAATAAAATATAGAACATATTTTTACTTAAATATGATGACGTGCTGTGTTATAACTTATAAACAGTAAAGTTCGTACATATTTTTGAGATACAATGTTCGTTAAGGTGAAGTATAGAAAGCTGTTTAGTTGATTGTTTTTTGTTCATACTTTTTTCTCAAATGGCCGTGTTATCAAAGTAAACTCGACTATTGTACGTACAGTACCTACAGATAGTTTCTAAAATATTAGTACCATTAAAGAGGAAAACATGTTTTTGTGTTGCTGCCTACGTAACGTCATAATAAATTGTGAAAGCTTAGAGCCCACTAAGGTAAAGGTTTACGAAAAAGGGAAAAAAAATGGTATGAAATAAGCCGAAATATAAAAAGTTTTTTTTTAGTTTTTTTTATTCAGAACACCATAATTTAAGAGCTGGCATTTCTGGAGAACTGGTGTGACATACTGACACTTCATACATGTTTTTCATGAGTACATAACTATTTTTTACGGTTCCACGTCATTTGGTCCGGTAAATTATATCCGGTGACAATTGATCCACGACATTTGATCCGGTTCAAAAAGAACTTGTACCAAAAATATCCTGCTAAAAAATGTCCGGTAACAAAAAAGTATAAAATATAAATATATAGTTTTTTTTTAATTAGTTGTTATTTTATTTTCATAATTTTCAAAAACGTCATTTTAAAAGTAATATAAAATATAAATAGGCATATAAAAAATGGGTAACAACAAAAATATGTCCGGTAACAAAAAAATATAAAATATAAATATATAAAAATTAGTTATTTTATTTTCATAATTTTCAAAAACGTCATAATAAAAGTAATAATATAGAATACAAATGTTTATAAATTAAAATTATGAGCGATGGCCTTCAAATACGTAATAAATTTATAGTATTTATGATAATAAAAGTGATAATATGGAATACAAATGTTTATAAATTAAAATTATGAGCGAATTACCCGAGGGGTAAACCACTCTTGGTAATCAGTGTACAAATGTTTGGAAATCTGTGGAAATCTGTGGTAATCTTTGGAAATCTCTGGTAATCTTTGGAAATCTTTGGTAATCATTGGAAATCTCTGGTAATCTTTAGAAATCTCTAGAAATCTATGGTAATCTTTGGAAATCTCTGGTAATCTTTGGGAATCTCTGGTAGTTTTTTGAAATTTAGAATTAATTTTCGATTTTGCAAACCTCAGTAGACATGTTAAAACTAATAATCATAGCATTTCGGTGAATTAATTTAAAATAAATGTATAAGATTTAAATAAGTAGGTATCCTATTTAAGTTCAAAACACGATATCAACACTTGATATTCAAATTTTTCTATTGAATTATAATAAATTGCAAAATTGTTTATTATAATTTTCGAGATAATTTTGAAAAGTTTTGTACAGTAGGTTACAAGTTACAAGTATGTACTGTAATGTATGGTGTTAAATTTGAATTTGAATTTGGTTGTAATAGGTACCCACATATTATTATATTTAAATAATTTACTTAAGTAAAATTCAAGATGAACATGAAGATTCATAATATTGTTGAATGATATTTATTTAATTATTAAACAATAGGTATTATTTTGATTTTAATTATATTCTAGTTGTATTTCATAAAAAAATATCTATTTGCTTCATTTCTGTTGGTATTTTTTTTTCTGAGCTAAGCAATAGACGTTTATGCAATCAACCGGCATTCACCGAATAAAAATGTACATTTAATAATTAGTTATCCTAACTAACTCATTGTGTAAACTGATGATAATAAAATGGGTGCAATAAATATTTACCTAATTCAATAAAAATGAATCTTCGAATTAATCAAAGATATTAAACAGTGATCAATAAATTAAAAATTAAAAATGATAGGTAATAGGTACCTACTATCAATATTTATTGTATTATAATAATGCCTAGATACTTAGATACTGACTAAAATATTAATAATCCTCCATAACATGAATATGTAAAACTGGTATATTGTGCTAGGTATATAGGTACTGCTAACTATACCTTAAAGCTGTACAGCTATACTAATACTAGTATTATGACAAGTATATTTTAAAATTAATGGTAGCCTCGACGAACATTCATAATATACCTAATAAAATTAACTATCATTGTTTTAAAATATTGAGATTATGATTCTATGAAATATAATTAAATATGAAGGTAGGTAAATTACAATTATAATTAGTAATGTAATTGGTAATTTGTTTTTTATTTTTTCCATCAATATTATATGGGTAATAATTAGCCATAAATTAAATGAAACCTATTTCTTGGTATTTCAGAATGCCTATAATATACATCTAACCTCACATAACCATAACATATTATATTATATTATATCATACAGGCCCAATATGTATATTTTTACTTTTAGATTCTGAGTGGAACGATGAATGTATTGATTTTACAATGATGTGTGTTTTTATATTTTTTAATTTTTAATTTTTGTCTGTGTACACGATAAGTAGTCGAAATAATGCTTCGATTTTCGACTTCAGTATCTTGTTCGATTGGAAAGTGAATATTGTTGGTGCATTGGGGAGGTCAAATTTTAAAATTCCCGGTACTTTTCAAAAGCGCCAAGAAAAACAAAAGAAAAATTAAGGAAAAACAGGAATTTTTACGCAAGATCGATTTTTCAGAAAATTGAATTTGGTTTTTGGTGTAACTTTAAAACAAATTACCGTAGATACATGCAATTTTCACTGGTTGTTTATATTTGCATTTTCTATACACGATAACATTTTAAAAATATTTTGATTTATTTTGAACTGTTTAGGGACATTTTCATTTTTCATTTTTTTTTAGTTTTTTTTCTAGAAATATCAATAAAATTTTATTTGTTGGTTAAAAAAACTTGAAAATTTAATAGAAGGCTCCTAGTATATTGTTTCAAAGGCAGATGAAAAATATTAAAAATTGTTAGGCACAGTTTTTTTTATAAACATTTAAAGTTCAAAAATTGACAAAATATGGAAAAATCACGAAAATAAGCAAATTATTTTGAGTTGAGAATTCGTAAAAATTTTTATTTTTAAATCTAAGATTTTAAAATGTAATACAAGATTCCTTATAAGATTATCTACCTTTATCAAAAAAAAAATGTCTATAAGAAAGTCAAATTAAATTTTTATGAGCGTTTGAAATTCAAATTTTTACAATATTGGATATTCACTCGATTTCTCATGTAGCGATTTCCTTATTTTGTTGTAATTCAAAAACGAATAACTGTAGATCCATGAAAATTTCACTGTATGTTTAAATTAGCATTTAAAGATCGAATTTTGACAAAATTTATCAAAATCTCGAAAATTATCAATCATTGTAATTAATAAATTATAAAATGTTCAGTTTTTATAGCTAAAGATTTCAAATTTAAAACAAAGTTTCTCATAAATAGTTCATACTGTAACCAAAAAATCTAAAAAATATATTAACACAGTTATTTTTTACAGACATTTTAAATTCAACGAAATTACATATTAAAAAACCTAGAATAACTATTTTAGTTATTTTGTTGTGATTGAATAATGTTATTCGTGAGTACTTGAAACTTCTAAAGTGTACTATTATATAATATCTATGATAGTATCATGGTTTTTGTTGATGTATAACACATTATAAGTACCTAATGGATATTGTGATATGATTAATCTGGAATTTATTATAGGTAGACTGACATACCGTCTCCGCTCAGAATCGCTTTTCTTATACAATGATATTATATCGTTGAATTCAAATTTAATAGCATCCATTATACAGTGACCCACTTGTAACCTACTGTACAGCAGACTGACACCCACTTGGCCACCTTTTTTTATTTTAAAGGTAATCTCTGGAAATCTCTAGTAATCTTTGGTAATCTTTGGAAATCTCTAGTAATCTTTGGTAATCTTTGG